CTCTGTAATTTCTTCATTCTCTCTGAATCAATGATATTAAAGAATATTCTTCTTAGGAAAAAACCGGAAGTGAAAGCAAATATTGGGATATATTCATCAAACTTTTTAATCCTTAGGCTAAATCAGCTGACTTAAAGGGACTGTATAGACAAAATTTCAAGTGAGCCTCCATTTAAAGTGTTTCAGTCCGATTTTTAACCGTGTCCCTTTAATCCCATATCTGAGTAACAAGTAGGAATAAGGATAAGTGAAAATTACATAATTCCATAATAGAAAGTCAAGAAGTAAAGAAAATTATTTTGGTCTGTCCAGATGTTTTTGTTTGACATTAAGGCTTTAATTTTCACAACCATTCCCCCCTCTTAAAATGTTGAATTTTCGTGTTTTCCATTTTATATTTCTTTGAAAACATTTATAAAATGACAGATCAAATATTGATTGTGCATTATCCAATCAGGGGCGTATTCGGGCATTTAGTCAGGGGAGGGCACGGGCAGCCGTAGTACATTTGAATTTCCAAGCCGACCGTCAACCTTTCCGGTCCCAGTTTGTATTGTATTGGCCGGACATTGGGTAAATGAAAAACACTCAATAAGACTAGCCGGTGCAACAAGGTTGACGCGGTCAGACTTTAGGTTGAGCTTACTTTTACTAGAGGGTCAGGGGTGCGTGGGGGGCTGTTTATTTCGGGGCTCTGCAGTCTGCATCTAGACCTGAAAACCCCATGAATACAATATATTTTACTTATCCACAGGGGGAGGGGCAAATTGCCCCTGAACTTTTCAGCTTCCGATGCTTGCATACTAAGCGTGTAAAAGAGTCAAAGTAAAAGAAATGCTTTAAAAGGGAATACAAAAGCAATTTTAGATAGAAAAAAATATAAAAATTCCGATCTACATCCCCCTATATACCCCCCCCCCTCTTGATATATTATTCTATTACATGAAGAAAAATATGTACCAAGTTGTATTTATATATATGTATTCATACATCAAATAGAATCCGTTTATGAATAAATGAAAAGGAAACATGGAAGCGAATGCATATAAAAAAAAGTGGGGTTCAAAATAATTACTAATGGCTTTTAAATTTATATAAATATATATGGGGTTTGATGGAGCTAGTGTGTTGTGTGCTATATTTTTATCTATGGTTGTAAGGGATATTTTAAAAATGCAAAGAGTTCATCGGTCAACTCATTTTACGACGAACCCCAAAAGTTTTATTTTTTATAATAAACAATGGTGATATTATGATTATTTTCTGTTTTAAAAACATTGCTATCTTCCCAGTTTACCGTGTTACAAATTACAATGATAAATCTGGTTTTGTTTCTCAGGGAGGGTCGAATCCACTGGTAACGTGTTTCTCCGGGTTGGTTAAATCCACTAGTTTTATTTCTCAGGGAGGGTTGCATCCAATGGTAGCGTGTTTCTCAGGGTTGGTTAAATCCACTAGTTTTATTTCTCAGGGAGGGTTGAATCCACTGTTAAAGTGTTTCTCAGGGTGGGTTAAATCCACTGGTTTTGTTTCTCAGGCTTGGTTAAATCCACGTGCACTGGTTCTGTTTCTCAGGGTGGGTTAAATCCACTAGTTTTATTTCTCAGGGTCGGTTTGATCCACTTGTTCTGTTTCTCAGGGTGGGTTAAATCCACTAGTTTTATTTCTCAGGGTGGATTGAATCCACTGGTTTTGTTTCTCAGGCTGGGTTAAATCCACTAGTTTTATTTCTCAGGGTGGGTTGAATCCACTGGTTTTATTTCTCAGGGTGGATTGAATCCACTGGTTTTGTTTCTCAGGCTGGGTTAAATCCACTAGTTTTATTTCTCAGGGTGGGTTGAATCCACTGGTTTTATTTCTCAGGGTGAGGTGAATCCACTGGTTCTGTTGTTCCGGGTGGGTTGAATCCACTGGTTCTGTTTCTCCGGGTGGGTTGTTTCCTTTTTATGATAAGCAATGATGATATTATAATTATTTTCTGGTTTAAAAACTTCTCTATCTTCCCAGTAAACCGTGTTACAAATTACAATGATAAATCTGGTTTTGTTTCTCAGGGAGGGTCGAATCCACTGGTAACGTGTTTCTCCGGGTTGGTTAAATCCACTAGTTTTATTTCTCAGGGAGGGTTGAATCCACTGGTAACGTATTTCTCAGGATGGGATAAATCCACTGGTTCTGTTTCTCAGGGTGGGTATATACACTGCAGGTTCTGTTTCTCAGGGTGAGTTGAATCCACTGGTTCTGTTTCTCCGGGTGGGTTGAATCCACCAGTTCTGTTTCTCCTGGTGGGTTTTTTCCATTTTATGATAAACTATGATGATATTATGATTATTTTCTGGTTTAAAAACATCGCTATCTTCCCTGTTAACCGTGTTTATGAAATAACAATAACAAATCTGGTTCTGTTTCTCAGGGAGGGTCGAATCCACTGGTTGTGTTTCTTACGGTGGGTTGAATCCACTAGTTTTTTTTATATCAGGGTGGGTTTAATCCACTGGTTATGTTTCTCAGGGTGGGTTGAATTAACTAGTTCTGTTTCTCCGGGTGGGTTGTTTCCATTTTATGATAAACTATGATGATATTATGATTATTTTCTGAACAAAATAGGGCTAAAAAAAGAGTTTTAAGGGAAGTGTTCTGTTTCGTTGTCTAGCAGTCTACAAAAGAAGTTGTTTAAAAACATTCTGTTGTTCACTATATATAGATATATTATATTGGAAAGTTTATCATATTAACAAGTTAGGAGGATATCTTTGTAAAGAGTCCATATTCATAAACTTAAAAAAAACACCATAGTATGTTTTCTGGTCTGTTTGTCTAACTCCACTATTTATTTGCAATGTTTTGCTACGAAAAAGCGTGTTTATTAAAGGGACTATAAAATAAAAATAAAAGGGGGTATAAGCCTGAAACCCAAGAATTTCAGGAGTTGAACGATACCTATAAGACACCTATCTGATGTTCCTGTCTCGAGAAATAGACATAAAACTGTGTCGAAATTATACCAAAACGTATATATATATACATGTAAGATATACGTCCGTATCACGTGATCAGAATGTCAGTGCTGTATACTGGTCACGTGATACAGACAGAGACATGTGACAATAATACTGCACTGTCATTGGTTGGAGTTCTGGTCCCATGATCTGGACGCATAAATAATATTAACAATTATATCTATTAAAAATAAATTATTAAATTCAAATAATGATAGAAGCAAACGCGCGCGACCTCTGGGACATCGTTGTTTTCAGATTGGTTGCATAGTTGCTGAATATGAGCTGTTTAATACTAGAAATCTTAGGCAACATCTTACATACGTTTTGGTATAATTTTGACACATTTTTATATCAATTTCTCGAGACAGGAACTCAGATGGAACTCTTATACGTCTCAATCAACTCCTGAGATTCTCAGGTTTCAACCTATACCCCCATTCATTTTTCCTTTACAGTCCCTTTAATCATACCCTCAGAAAATAATTAATTAACGATATTTATGATCTAGTTGCTAATGATTACTGCATGAAAAAGAACATGAGTTTGTGCAAAAAACTCAGATCCTTTGTTTAATTGTTGCTCAGAAAATTTTTTTTTTTTATTTTTTTGTCAAAGGTTTTTTTTTTGCTACAAAACTCACTTTTAGACGGCCCAGTGTGAAGTTGAAAATATAACAATTGAAAGAGCGATACGAATAATATATTAATTACATCATTAATACTTGAGATAAAAAGGATTCATAAATTAGTGGGNGGGGGGTATTGATAAATTATTAGAAGTTTAACCTCAAAATTAAAGTTTAAGTCCAATTATTGTTCCATGCAATATACCATAGTGCATAGAATCAATATCAATCAGCTTTTAATTGATTTAACATTTTTTAGATTAACAGAATATACAGACATATATACATTATTTGATCATTTTATTATTTCCCATTAACAGCCAAGGGGGTTCAGAATTGCCACAAACTCTGAATTTCTAATCCCTATATTTTTGTAACCCAATGTCGAGGACCTTAGATATTTCAAGCTTAGATTATTTGATCTAACAAAATTCATTGTTTGAAATATCAAAGATTGGATTACAAAGATAAAATGATTAAAAAATCAGAGTAAGCAGCAAAAACTCAGTTCCTTTGTAATGAAAATCGTGTAACACTATAGCTGTAAACCTGAACTTGTAATTACGTTGATTAACTTTAAATTGTATTATAGAACCCAAAATATATTTAGTTGGAATAGACTTGGCTTTGATTACGGTGAGAGAGTAATTGTTTCTCGTTTAGAAAACAAGAACAGGAGATAAATCGTGTCCAGATTATTGACATTGATAGTGAAGCATTGGTACAGATAAATCGTGTCCGGATTGACATTGTAAAGTTTTATCGAACTGATTAGTTCTTATGCCTCGTAGATCAACGAGAGGGATTGAGTTGAACCTGGATTGATACGTGTCTTAACGGATTTATTGGAGTAGGGCATTTACTACACCTTTGATAATTGTCTTTCCATGGAAAATTAATCTATTTTGTTTGCTGAAGTCAAAAAAAGGGTTTAATTAATATTTTATATAGGTTTAAGCCAAATGGAAGCATTGGACGACCAAAATAAATTAAGGTTCCTTATGTTAGATCCTCCATACGAATCTAGCAACAATTTAATGCTATTTTTAAGTATGCAATCATTTTTTTAGAGCTTCCTTGAATACATTTTACTAATAAAATATATCTTGAGAAAAGTTTTTAGAAAGAAACTTATTTTCTGAATATTTATTCATATATTCACCCAGAGGGAGTTTACAGCTGGAAGGGGGTTAATCAACTGAATATGCAAAAAGGATTGATGGATTTATTATGCAGCATTTTTTGTGATTAGGCAGAATAAATAGGTCGGCATGTGGGGTTTGATATTAAAAATAGTTTTTTTTTAATATTATACATTTATAAATGAAGAAAAAAAAAATATTAAACATTCATCTTTAACAATTTTCAGAAAAAATGTAGAGAAAATTACCGACCATATCAGCTGACACTAATCAGCTGACACAAATCAGCTGACACAAATCAGCTGACACTAATCAGCTGACACTAATAAGCTGACACTAATCAGCTGACACTAATCAGCTGACACTAATCAGCTGACACTAATCAGCTGAAACTAATCAGCTGACACTAATCAGCTGACACTAATCAGCTTCAATTTACAAAAATCGACGGACTCATATTCAGCTGAAGAAAAAAATCATAAAATCCACGGCCTGCAATGAAACCGATTGGTAAAAATTGTTATTTGTTCGTCAAGAACTAGAAAAAAAATGGTCGATTAAGAATGAAAGTGCATACTGCTATAATTGTGAAAAAACAAACAAAATTCAGAGCTAAATAAACATGGAGGCACCACAGAAAGAGGATGGAAGGTGAACTTTAAATTATTAAATTTCGATTTTCCTGTAAATTAAAGTTATTCCGCCTATGATGTATACCATGCGAATTAGGAAGCCTAGAAAAATGTGTTCAAAAATTAAATGCCCAAAAAAATTTTCTTTCAAAAATTGGGTAGTAATTGGAAAATTACAAGTTAAGTTTTCAAAAATTGATCTGAAAAATAGATATGTCTTTCAACGTTATTTTTTGCGTCTTAGTATTGAATTTTTATTTGTATTTAGAACTGCCAATGGTCAGAGTTTAAATGGTTAAGTTTTGAATAACGATTTTCTGTGTTTAATGGTTCTTCTAATTGTTTCCTAAAAGCTGCATTTGCTCTTCCACCTTCAGTTTAATAAACTTTAGAATTTACACAAGATTTGCATTAAACTTTTTAGTAAACTATGTTTACAGAGCCCTTCCGGCATATTCTTTTATTTCTCATACACGTTTAAGTGAAAACAAGGAATAATTTAGCTAATTTTCTTGTGGTTTTACAATAGTTTTTTATACATCGGATATTTTCGGAGACATCTTTTTCTTTTGACCGTCCATACACATTCCTTGGGCAATTCAAATAGAAATCCGAGCTGAAAACTTTAGAATGGTGGATATCGAGATCCATGATTGATATCCTGGTTTTACTAAACCCGAAATTAAGTTAATACCATGTTAATACTCATTCGATATCCAAGAAAGAAGTTTAAAATTCAACCGATCCGCGTGTCATGTTAAGATGCGCTCTTTAACTTTTGAAAACCCGGTTTTTATTTTTTGCGCATTACTGGTGTTGACGGTGTCATATCAATTGAACTAAAGATTGATTGAACGAACGTAAGTTTTGGATTAATGTTTATTCAGGGGCGGATACAAGATTTAAGTGAGGGGGGGGGGGCAAGATTTTTGAGGAAAAAAATGAATAATTAGGAACAAAAAATCGTGCCGCAGGCGAAAACTTTTTTTGACTTAAAAGACTCAAAAAGAGTCAAAATTAATGACTAAAGACTAAAAAATTAGATTTTTAAATTTTAGGAACAAAATTAAAGGATTAGAACAGGAATTTAGGAACAATTAAAATATTGTTCAGGAATTAGGAACAAAAATAAAGGATTAGGACAGGAATTTAGGAACAATAAACAGATTGTTCAGGAATTAGGAACAAAAATATAGGATTAGGACAGGGATTTAAGGTGGGTCGGACACAGGAACAGGAACAATAATAGGAACATTAGCAATTTAAGAACAAAAAGAAATTAATAGCTATACTTAAATGCATGAAAATTAGGAGCAATATTACAATTTTGATAAATGAGTATTGATTAAGAAACATTACTAGATATGAACAATATTATAACTTAAGTCTAGTTTCTTACAAATTTCTAATTATAAATTTATCGTTAACAATAACATTTAACAAATTGGGAACATTTTTTGCCTCGAAATCTCAGGGGGGGGGGTTAATGTCCCCCGCCCCCCCTTGTATCCGCCCCTGCTAACGTTCTAAATGATTATAGTCCTCAAATGTAATAACATATGTTTTTTGATAAGTTCATATTAATATAATTAAGTTTATATTTGTTTAAATACTCTAAAAGCCCGCTTGTGAACAGCTGACTTTAGTTCAATCGGATATTAGTCCAATCGATACAGCATCGTATCTGTAATTGTTATCAAAGTAACTTTTATACAGTAGGGGTATCCAAAAAGAGAGGATTAAGAAGAAAATCAAAAGTGTGTTCATTGGATATTCAGATTAAGTAATTGGATATCTCATTCTAAAGTTTTCAGCTCAGGTTAAATTAATCTTTTGGACCATCTACGAAAACTTAATTTTCAAAAAATAAAATATAATAATAACAGAGGATCGTGAATATTTCTATATTCAATATAACAAGTTTTAACACATGACTGATAATGATGTCATCACATTTTTACATTTGTGTTTAAATTTTAAATTTCTTCTTAAAATTACTAAATAATAAAATCTTTAATTTTCTAAATTGCAATAAAACTACACCATTAATATATATTTGTAGTTTGTGTTTTTTTTTGTGCTTATATTTCATTTTCATATTACGCTTTAAAGGTATCCTGGGCCCCCCTGCTGCAGTAATTTTGATTGTATTTTTATCTTTATCTTTATTCATTGTTTAATTTGTTATTATATCTACTGCAGAAAAATATTGATTTGAATTAACTCCCCCCTGTAAGTTGTATTTAATTGGTTGTATGGCAGGTTCTCTCCTATGGCCTGGATGCGGCACAGAACCCCCTCCCTGCCATCTTGTATTGGAAAAAGAAAACTTTCTTTTCTTCAGGTTAGTTTTTAGTATCCTTAGGGATAATTTTCTTCCTGTTGAAAAATAATTTTTTCCAGCAGAAATGTCTGTGCAAACGAAACCACTGTTTAAATAGACAATTTTGCTTTTTGTTAACTATTCTTATTTTAGAAACTGCATTCTCGGAAGAAAAGTGCCCCCCATCAATGCTGCCCCTGCCAACATCTAAAAACAAAAATTCATCACGATTTGGGTAAGTTTTATCTTTGATAGAGGGTCGGATGTAAAAAATATATCTATTTAAGATCTATTTTATATCTATTTTGTTTGATATGAGATAGAAAGAGAAGAATTGATTCTTTGGCACAAACCCTGATTTTCTAATCCCTATATCTTTGCAACCCAATGGCGTAGACCTAAGATATTTCTACCTCTTAATTGCGTTTGCTAAGTCCAATTGTAAAGTATGAAAGGTTTACACTATCATATTGCAAAGATATAGGGAATACAAAATTTGAGTTTGTGGCAAAGACTTAATTCCATTGCCCAATAGTTTTGGTTAGATTACTCTTAAAAAGCAAAGCTTTTTTGTTTAATATAAAACGAAAAAACTTCGACTTCTTGTTTATTCTGTGAAATTATATTAGGTTTTACAGATTTGGCTTTTTAAATATAAGAACACAATTGATAAATTTTATATTTAGAACGGAACCAATTATTTCCTCTCATCATTCTTTACGTCGTTATTTTATATATTTTCTCTTCAATATTTTTTGCACATAGTTATTTAAATGTATTTTTTCTCTAATTTCTATATTTGTATTTGCGGCGCTATTCGGACGATGTATGTTTTTAATTTCTATTCATTAACGTTGTAATACTGTTCTGCCTTTTCATGTTCTAATAATACTGTATTCAAGCTAATTGAATTTGAAAACTACTTCAAAAGAGACTTGGCTGTATAGGGTGGAAAGTTATGGTGTTAAATTAAAGGGACTGTTAACCAAATTTCAAGTGAATCTCCATGTTACAGAGTTGTATAAAGGCAGGGGGGTCTGAATCTATGTTAAGCCAGTGCATTAAACAAAAATTCTACCGATAACTTTGCTAGTTTGGGTGCAAGGGAGGGTTGAAAAAATGCCAAAAGTAAAAAAAATGAAAAAAATGTTTTATTGTTTTAGACAAATATCAAAAAGTGACTATGTGACACATGTTTCTGAATCCACGGTTTAAAAAAATATCGATTTTGATCTGTAGCTTTAGTCACAAGAAAGAGAAACCCCAATTAAAAAAGTCAATTTTCAGAGAAGGAAATAGAATAACTCTTACAAAGGTGGTTGGTTAGGTTTTCTCTTTAAATGGGGGGGGGGGGGTACCTTAAAATTAAGTTGACAGCCCCTTTAAGGTTTATTGTCTTGTCCCCCCCCCCCATCTCCTATAGCGGACCCCATTCAGCAAGCTGTCTAAACCAGACTATTATCATTAATTTATTATACATTTTACTTATTCAATTAATCTTTTTAGAACATAGCACATTTTATTTTACTAATAAATTGTTTAAAAGAATGAGTTTCTTTGACAGGTTAAAGTACTTCAGGGTTTAGGAGGAAATATACAACAACCAAAAAACTCAGAAAATTAAGGTTGTGAAAATAGCTATTGGGGGAAATTTTTGATTTTGTAAAAGAAATATCTTTTTAAGCGAAAATTTTGTTGTTTTAAAAAGCTTGTCTGACTGTATGTTTGTATCCAATAACCGTCAAAACCTCACGTGACCCCAGGGAAGGTTTATGAATAATCCAAATTTTAAAAATTGTGTATAAAAGTTTATTAATTTTTGTAAAATTTTGAAAATGCACGAAAAAATATTATGAAATCCGCAAATTTTTTGTTTGTTTTTGTTTTATTCTGTACAAAGAAAAGATGCTCAGATATAAAGCCACAATTAAAAGTTAAAATAGAAGATCACGATAGAGCTTTTAAGGGTAACGTTGCGAATCGGGCATTACCACCAATGTATTGAGTATTCCTTAAAGTCCCTTAAAACATCTCTATTTCCCTTAAAACATCTCTATTTCCAGGACCCCCTGCAGAACCCCTGAGTCAAGATCTCCTGTGCCTCCTCGCGGGTTCGAACCCATTGATAAACCGAACCCTTGTCAGACTCCAGTGGCCCCTTACCTAGCCCCTGGAACCCCTTACCTGGCACCTGGAACCCCCTCCCTTCAGTATTTACCCCCTCACCCCCCTGGGAATGATAGAAATGGAAACCTGAAGTCCTGTGGACAAATCCAGTGCTGCCTACAGATTCTATACCTGGAGCAGAAATTGTTTGAAAAGGTAGGACTAGGATACAGTGCTCCCTACAGATTCTATACCTGGAGCAGAAACTGTTTGAAAAGGTACAATTCTAGGATACAGTGCTCCCTACAGATTCTATACCTGGAGCAGAAACTGTTTGAAAAGGTAGGACTAGGATACTGTGCTCCATACAGATTCCTATATAGGGACCTCACATGACCCCAGGGAAGGTTTATGAATGATCAAAAATTAAAAAAATTATCTCCAACAAAATTCGATTCTTATTAAATTTTGAAAATTCACAAAATTTTGTAAATCCGCAATTTTTTGTTTTGTTTTGTTTTACAAGGTATACATTATACAAAAAGAAAATGTTAACAGTTGAAATATAAGATGGGCGCGAATTGCTCAGGAAGCCTAATACGTAAAAAAACAAGTAGTGTATATTATGAATTATTCACAAAAAAATGTTGGTTTATTTGCTCAAAAAAAGGAAATACTTTGGTCACTCAGGCAATTTTTTCCATTTCGTTGTTTGTTTTCAAACATTTCCACATTTAATTTCAACAAACATTTTAGAAATTATAAATTCAGTATTCTAATCGATGCACTCTAATATCATCCTAATTCAGGCGTAAATTGGATTTTTGACATTTAGAAAATCAGAAGAAAAATATAAAACCAAAAGTAAAAATATATAATTTAAATTTGAAATTATGATAAGCGGAGCAAAGTACAACATTATGGATATAATCTATATATATATATAGTGTGTTTACATCAATTTACAGAAATAATTAAAGACATTTTAAATAACACAAAATTAGTTTAAAAATATAAGTTCACGAATAAGGCCACAAGCACAACAAGTTCCAAGCTAAGTAAAATTTTAAAAATTTCATATCTAGTGGAACAGCTGTGTATAATTCAATTTTTGTTTAAGTTGTATTCAAGTTTACATTGATCTAATTATTTATTTATTTAGATTCAATGTAGATGAATAAAAACAAATGCAAAACAATTCGAATCTTTCTGTTAGTTAAGGAATGCATTGAGTTTTCGCAACAAACTAATATTTTCTAACCCCTATATCTTTGTAGCCTGATGTTATACATCTTAAAATGTTAACATATTTGATCTAACGTAATTCATAGTTCAGATATAAGTCAGAGAACTATTGTTATCAAAAACTTGGGGGGAGGGGGAGGGGGGGGGGTTGAAAATTGAACATCAAATTTTAATTGTTCTCTCTAATACTTTCTCAACCAAAACTTTATTGAGATTCCCGTAAAAAAAATTTAAATATTCGTTTTCATCAGTCGTGCTTTGATCTTTGCATGAAGAACTGAGTTTTATGACGTCATTAAACCTGTTTTCCCCTAAAATACATTTTGACATGATAAATTTAATGCGTTCCACAAAAAGTGTTTTGATTAAATTGATGAATTGTTACCGAAAAAGATTTATTTTAAGTGAACGCTTAAGTTGTTTTTCCTAAAAGTATTTTTCTTTGTTAAACGTAAAAAGTATTAATTTGAGTTTAAGTGTAGCTACCCATTTATTTAAGTATAAATGAGAATACCTGTCCAAGTTTAACAAGTATTCAGTTATTTACTAAGTAAGTGTACAAAATAGAGATAACCCTGTAAACAAACAGAATATAATTCCTAGCTAAAAATTATTGCAAAAGAGTTAAGTACTTGTTCTTAAGTATTAGAAACAAAGGAAGCACTTTGTCTTTTCAGAGAGAAAAAATAGTGTTTCTTTGGTTTGAAATTTCATTAATTATAGAATAACAAAATTATAATGTAAACAGTAAACAAAATCTGATCAGAACAAAAATAGCTAATTATGTATTAATGCTAAACAGAAGCAATGAAGGAATTTTTAAAATTAGTTTTCAAGTTAAAGAAACGACGATATCTTCAACATTATTTATCGGATATTGGTTTAAAGGCTACTGTAGTGAATCAGGCATGACCCTCTTTAATATATACTTGGAATTACGTCAGTAGTTCATTTTCGTTGTACAGAGATCCAGAGAGCTAGACAATTTAAACATTCATGTTTGAAGCGTTGCAACGCCTAGGCATTTTATTTTATCACACTAACTCACAAATACTATTTAGCTATTGCCATTTAAGAACATCCTTGTAACGTTTCTGGCTTCCGTGCAATTGGTCTTATTCTTAGGCTGATAGATTTTTTTAAAAAGTTTGTACACTTGGTTTCAGTTGAAGTAAATATTTCCGTTTACTGATAGCACCGATTGAAGGATTCATATCTCTAATTGGATAATGAGATAGATAGAAAGATAGATGTTACCGCGAGTCATACTATTTCTATTGGCTGAGAAGAGACAACAAACACATGACTGAACCCCGATTGGATCAGGCGCTAATGTACACGGTATAAAGAAGTGTACCGTGGTTGTTAAATTGTGTAACTAAATATCTCTTTTTTAAAAAATATTACTCCAAGGTTGAGAGATTAAGCACCAATAGGGATAAATTAAAGAAAAAGAAATAATTACTTTTCTGTGTTAAGAAAATATGTAAGGAGAGTGCAGGGTTACATCGTTAACCAGAAATATATATATATATATGGAGACCATTTATAAAAAAAACATCGTGTCACAAACACACCAAAGAAATAATAACAATCTTTTTAGAAATCTAAAAAGAACGAAACAATTCATTTCTGGAGTAGGGATGGATCTTTTTTATATTTCTGATAAACGAATCGATCGTTTCGTTCGAACTAGATAAAAACTAAAATAAAAACGATAGTTTTTGAAAAGAACGATTTTTAAAAATTTAAAATCGAAGAAGTAGTTTGTAGTTTGAGTTTATCGTTTTGTTAACGAAGGTAGGTCGTGTTTGATTTTTTACGATTGTTAACGACC